TTTTTTTTTTTTTTTTTTTTTTTAAAGAAAATCTGCACAAAGTAATCTAGTAACAATTTAACGAAAATCCAAATCTACTGGTTCCACATTCAATTCAGATAAATTTTGGAGTTTCTATCTCTATTTGCAGACGAGCCTTGCCTATAATTTATCAGATCTCGGTGGGATCAATCCATCAGTTTCAGACAATTAGTTTCAGGCAATTAATCTTCGGGTCGAACTGGAATTATAACGCGAGCGACTGTTTTATTTGTTCGCTGTGTGTTGCCGACTTCAAATCAATAATCAACACCCTTGCTTTTCTCTTTTGCAGATTCTCCTCAAAGAAGCTTGCCGCGTTTCTGGCAATTTGTCTCTTGGTCACACGCACCGGTGAGTGATTTCCTTCATCACTTCAGATCTAAAACTATCTATCTTCTATCTTAAGACGTTGGAAACTTGAATCAAGACATTATTTTATAGAAACTTATGGAAAAACACGGACTAAGTGAAAGATATTGTAACGTGAAATGTACTTTCGTTCCTTACTTGTCTCGTTAATCGATGCACCGATAATGGATCATACGGTTAATAGGTATTCTGATAATCGAGATTCCACTATGTATATTTGTTTTTCGTTACCGTGTAATATCGTCCGGGTAATGAAACCTCGAAGTTCTATTGCAATATCGATCACTCTCCAGGCATAAAATCCTGAAGCGGAATTGGAGACTTTGTTTGTTTCTTTTTACAATTAAGAACGGTATCATCATTAAATAAACGAAAGAAACTTCCCCTATATTATTTTATTAGAATATTCTCCAGGCATAAAATCCAAGCAAAGCTAGAGATTCTTTATTTTCCTTTGTAATATCGTATAATAAATTTAAAATAAATTAATAAATCGTATTACGATCATATAAAATACTGATAATATTTATATAGCCATATATATATATATGTGTAAAATGACAGATTGGAAACAAATGTTTCGTCTGTCCGGTATTCCAAAAGCTAGAAATAACGAAACGAGATGCGAAGTTTACCCAACGTATGCGGCGAGATCATTTTATCAAACTGTACTATCAGCGAGAAGCTTCTGCACATGTACATAGAAGCTTAGAAACGACCTCTCGACGGTACTCTACTGAGAAAACGTGACTGCTCCTTCGTATGCGTACATATATAATCACGTGTACATCCCCTGGTCGTTCCTCGAAATCTCCTTTACGATCCACTTACAAAAATTGTCAGAGCTTTTATCCTCGGTACTCTCCATCGCCACCCTTTCTCTTCAACATACTCTTGCACAACATTTTCTATTCCAGCTTCTGCTACCTGTGCCACCTCGTCGCTCTTCCACTTTTCTTATTCGTTCGCCTGCCGAGTAGTTTGTAACTTCTAGAATTCTTCCTATTAATTCTTCCACTGACTCTTGTAACTCAAAGTAATACGGATATTATTTCGACGATTTTCAAGTAATTTCATTTCATCAGTTTAGATAATAATCACAATGGCT